ATGATCATAGGGTCGTCTTGGGTTGGCATTTTCCTACTGACCATTTGGATCTCGGGTACCATCATAGGGTGGCACCCTCGGCCCTTTCAACCCTTTGGGAATAGGCATTTCGTTAATGTCGTCCGTAAACGGAGAGCGTATATTTAGGTTCTTGAAAGCATGTTTGTATTGCTTTACTTATGTTACTTATGGTAACTTTTTTTTGTCTTTTATGAGTGTCTTCTACATCGAACAGTTGACCTGCATTTCTCTCCTTTTTGTTTGATCCTTTTTCGCAATGGCTTGACTCATTTCCTTCTTCATCAGAGTCTTCCATTTGGTCTGTGTGGAACGAAGATCGATCCCACTTTCTCTTTTTGGAGTTGTCTTTCACTTTGCAATTTCCTCATAGCCCTAAATCTTTTGAATGCTTCAAATTCTTCTAAATCCATTTCTTCTGTCGTTTTGCCTTGCAGATTCCCTCTCTCATCGTTGATAAAATTTCTAGCGACTACATTCTGATGTCTCACCATAGTAGAAAAATGTGTGGTTGCTTATAGGACTTCAAGGTTTTTCATTCTAACGACAAGACTTACTCTAACTGTTGGTGTGTTTGTGTCGGCTATTTGTTGCGAGGTCCCACAGATGGCGCCACTTGATGTACCATCGGGTTAGTCTTCTATCTTTTACCCTTGGATTACTTTTACCCGAGAAAATAGATTGACCTAAAGAATATAAACAAACCCTAAGCTAGTTGGCCGGGATGAGATCTCGGACAACTCTCCGATGGTTAAGTTAGTGAAAGGATACATTATCGATCGATTATAGGGGCGAAGAGTTAAACAAGTGAGATAAGTATGTGTTGGGTTTTAGTTCAAAAATAGTTTCATAAACTTTAAAAATATGGCAACGGAAGACTTTAATTTTTGAAATAACATAAACATTTTATACCCGCCAAGGATCTTCTTGCAAGTTATAGAAAGATTAAACACACCAACCATAGTAAGGATGAAGAAATAACAACCTTTGTAGTTCTTTGGGTCCTCATGGGAGGCTTGGAAGTTGATGAAGAATGTGGAACCTTTGAGACACCAATAATGACTCAACTTGATGTAGATGCTAGTCCAAAACTCTTAAACTCTTAAGCTTTAAGTTCATCACCAATATGAACTTAAAGAAGGCATGAAGATGCAAGTAACTTTAAGTGTTCTTAACTAATTAATAGAGAATGAGAGGGAGGGGAGGAACTTTCAGCCATATGCCTCAAGGAAGGAATGAGAACTTTTGCCAAATGCAAGCCCTCATATTTATATGCAAAAATGAAGGTATTAACCATTAGTCCTTAGCACTTTTAGCAAACTTTTTTCCATTGTCATAATCATGTCTCCCATGCCGTTAAAGCATGATTAAATAATTCATACACTTCTTCCTTTTATGTAAATCTCAAAGATTGCATAAAGAAAAGGAAATTTAGTTTAAATTTTATAAAATCAAGGTTTATAAAATTTAAACTTTGTATTTTGAGTAAAATACAAAAGGTTTTCAACTAGTCCAAAAAGTTGTGCATGACTTATTAATTCATACCATTTGAAATAATAGGGTTGATGTCACACCCCCGAACCAGACGGCGGAAACGTCCGGGGGCTGTCGTGACTCAATTGAATACCATAACATTGAATATATATGAAACATAACAACATTCGTCACCGTGCATTAATATATTACAACCAGTAGTGTTTACATGTCATACATTGTTTAAACATTACATTCCCAAAAATTAATTTGTTCAATTCATACAAAACTAAACTGCAAGCCATCACTGAATAAGATTTCCTTTGATTCACCGGTTCCCTGAGAATACAAGTATTTTGAAAAACGTCAACATATGAAATGTTGGTGAGTTCATAAGTTGTATTTGAAAACAATGCTTCGTATCGTTTGAAAACCACCAGAAAATCCGATATTTTCTGAAAATAGTATAGCCAAAAAGGTGTGAAGATCCATAAGTATGCTTGTTTGTTTTCTATACTTGTAAAATATTGTTTATTGAAATCTTATGTGTTCTGAATTTGTATGTATTGAAAACCCTAGGAAAACCCGATGTTTTCCTAATTCTTTGAATTCCATGAAATTACTTGAAACCATTGCAACGCATGAAGTTATCATTCCAGACGACATTGGATTATTTTTGAGCATGACTATCCGCCACAAACACGCGTTACACAAACGACTAGTCTATAGCAATACTAACGATCCCGAAGGCGTCGTCCGTACTAGTCACGTTATCCAACTGTCCTGTTGTCCCACATCCGAAGAGAAGGAGGACACGAAGGCCTCGACGACTCCATTAGCCGGTTGGGGATAAAAAGGTACGAGGGGTCCCAGACCCGCCTCGCAAAAAGGCAGACTCTACTAGCGACACTAAAGGACCCTTGGGGACCAGTAGTCTACAGCCATTGAAAGTCCGGTTACGTCGTGTCGGGTTGGTAAAACCCAACACTTCGTAAGATGAAGTCTTTGGGCCTTAAGATCAGGTCGTCAGGCTAGCTAGGCTCAACGAACAAGATTTTACACTTGTGGGGCCCAAAGATAGTGCGTAGACGTCTGTGCACATGTATAATGTATTCTGAATCGTTATTTGTATGAATCATAGTATTGTAGTATCATAGTATCGTTGTGTTAGTGGTTTCGGATTTTTATTGGTTCGAGACCGAACCAATTCGTTTAACAACGACTTTTGGTATTGTAGTGTATTGTATTTTGTCGATAGTAGTAGTACCATTATTTGATCATACTGCATGTATTGAATTAGTCTTGGAAATTTTCTGTTTTCAGCCCCTCCTTGTTTGTAAAATTTACCTTTTCAACCCTTTATTTAAAATATTTTCCGGTTTGGTCCTTAAATCAATTTTCTTGACATTTTAACACCAAAAATTATTGAAATACACATTTTCCAGCATATTTTTCATAGAAAACAGCTTAAGACCCTGAAAATGCAGTTTTCTCGGTTTTAATCCCTTCTTTTCGCAACTTTGACAATTTTGGCCCAAATTGGAAAAATTTTGCAACTTTGGTCCTTTTTAAATTTAAAAAGCATTTTAAACCTTTGAAAAGGATTTGGAACACTTATAGTCCACTGTTTTACAGAAAATTACAGTTTTGGCCCTCCAAAACAGAAAAATTCGCATAATGGGCCTCATTGGGCCGAAATTTTCATTTTTAGCCCATTAGGCTTGAAATTTATGTTTTTAACCCTCTAATTGAGTATAATTCCAGAAATAGTTTTGTGGAAACTGTTTTGGCACACTTCATCCATCAGAATCTGTGAAATGTCAATTTGGGCCCTTAATTTTGTATTTTTCACATTTTTGGCCCAAAATTTGGTTTTTTTAGCTTAAAGAAAATTGTTACTAAATCATTTAGCTATCTTTCTTGAAACACTTTGTATGTAGAATTACATTTCATGCTAAAATCATAAAACTTAAGTTATATCTCGGTTTTGAGGAGTTTTATGGCTAGATCCAACATTAAAACCCATAAAAGCATACATATAAGCATGGAAATCATACAAGGCATATAAACACATATAGATCTACACTTTCACTTGTATTCCCCCCCCCCCCCCCCCACAAAACTCATAAAAACATAAAATTGGGGGTATGAAGCTCACCTTGGTGTTGATTCGGTTTTTGAAGAAAGATTGGAAGAAATGAAGTGATTTTTGGCCTTTGCACTCCTTGATGAACTTTTCGAGTTTATGGGGTTTCTAGAGTGCAAGATCATGATTTTTGCATGGATTAGGAAGTGATTTTTGATAAATAAGGAATACAAATCATAGATCCAAGCAAAACCTTACCTTAGATGATGATTTTGTGGAAGAACCTCCTTGAATGCTTCCTAATTTTCGAGATTTTGGATGGAGAAGAGGAAGAAGTCTTGAGTGAATTTTAGAGAGAGTTTGTGAGTGTTTTGTGTGTGTGTGGTGTTGCTCTCGGCCGAGAATGAGAGAGGAGAGAAGAAGAGATGTGATCTTGAAGTGATTTGCATGGAAGAATGGGAAATAATGCATGGAAGTCCTATGGGTAATAGTGAGGTGGCAAGCAAATAGTCAACTCTTTCTTGGATTTGGGCCTTGGGCCGAGATTTTGGAAGGGAAAAGAAAATTTTGGGGCTTAAATGCTTAATCCCAATTCTCATGGTTAAGTTGAGTGATTTTTGGTCCAAATAAATATAAAGGTGATTTTTATAACTTGTTAGGGTCAAATTAGGTCAATTATGGATCAAAGCTTTCAATTTATTTCATTCTAGGCCCAATATGGCCCATAATATTGAAATAAATTAGTGTGGGTCCAAATAGAGCCCAATTAGGGTTCTAAGCCCATGATAGTCTAATTGGAAGCTTATTGGTCCATTTGGATCCAATAAGGAAGTTCTAGTCCAAGATAGACTTAACAAGAACTTCTAGGGTTTTCCAATTGTTTGATGACTACTAGTAGTAATTGTATGATGTATTTGATTGAAGTTTTTGATTCACACTAACTTGAATGTATAGATTACATGGCTCAAAATTTTCAGTTGTGACAGTTAATGACTTAGGAGGGTAATAACGTTTCTCATTTGTTCATTTTAGGTCCTTAGCGTTTTTTTTGTGTGTATTACACCATTAAGGTTCTAATAACCGTTTATAAATATTCATTTAACCGGTTTCTTCCTGTTAAAACATTACGTGGATGATTAGTTGACATTATTTAGGTGTTGCGTGTGTATTTATCTCCATAAATTAGGGCAGGACAAATCCCCCATCTCTATCTCTTCACTCTCACTGTTCTTTCTTCAAGCAACCCCGATCAGATTAGATGGCTAAAGATGATGCATTGGTCGTTGAAGTCCAGTACAATGGGCACTTCTTCCCGAGGCCATTTACGTATTTTGATCCAGATAAAAAGGAGATAAGGTAAGTCAATTTCAGGGACAAAGGGTATTCTAAATTCATTGCTCACCTAGAGCTGATTACTAGACGGATGTGCAAAGATGTATACTATTGTCTAGACGGCCAAACATTGTGTCAAGGATTTGCCACATTGCAAAACGATTGTGATTCTCATGAATTTCTTGAGTATCTTCATGACAAAAAGAAAGTAACTGTGTATGTGGACCATATGCATGAACCCCTGTTTGACTGGATTGAAATGGAAGAGCCTGAAGTTGAAGATGATACCAACTCCAACGAAGATGAAGTTGATGTAATAGGTAAAGAGGGTTGGGAACACGAGATGGATGATGAGGAGTTTTCTATGAAAAGGGAAAGAGCAAGTATTCAAAGTATGCAGAAGAAAGACATGTTTTTGAACAAACTTTGCCCAAATGATGAAGAGGAAGAAGATCCTACTGCTGAGCAACTACCTCCTGTATACCCTGTGCACAATTCTGAGCAACAATGGGATCAAATGGCTCCTGTGTTAGGTATGAAATTCACCAATCCTAGTGAACTCAAACATTGTCTTACCAACTATGCTGTTAAGCATGGTTATGATTTGTGGTATGAAAATAATGATAAAAACAGACTTCTAGTGAAGTGTTGCAAAGGTAAAGAACCTACATGTCTTTTTAGGTTATGGGCTTCTTGGATGCAAGAGGAAAGGACTTTTCATATCAAGTCACTTAAATCAACTCATAATTGTGGTAGAGTTTTTAAAATAGGCTTAGTGACTTACAAGTGGGTAGGGAAACAATTTTTCAATGTACTTATAAAAAACCCCAAGCTTAGTTTGAGGAAGATGAAAGCTCAAATCTCAAACACATACAACATCATAGTTAGCATTGGACAATGTAGAAATGCAAAAAAGTTTGCATTGTCTGAGATTGAAGGCACTCTGAAAGAGCATTATAGTAGGTTGTGGGACTATGACATTAAAATCAAAAGAGCTAATCCAGGATCAACTGTAAGCATGGAAGTGGACAATATGCTTGATGGAAGTACAATGTTCAAACGGTTCTATGTATGCTTCAGAGGTGTAAAAGATGGTTGGGTAGAGGGGTGTAGAAGAGTCATTGGGATTGATGGATGCTTTCTCAAAGGAATTTGCAAGGGTGAACTCTTAGCTGTAGTAGGTAGGGATTCTATTCCCTATAGCTTGGGCTGTTGTAACTGTTGAGAACAAAGAAACATGGAAATGGTTCCTTGATCTACTGATGGATGATATTGAAAGAAAATGGACTTACTATTCTCTTTGATGGACACAAGGTACTACTCATGTTTACTCTTAACTTTATAGTTAAATAATTATTTAACATTGTAAATTGGGCAGGGTTTAATTGAAGCTATCAAGGAAAGGGTTCCTGATGCTGACCACAGATTATGTGCTAGGCACATACTAGCCAACTTCAACACAAGGTTCAAAGGTGAGCATTTTATCAAGCCTTTTTGGAAGGCTGTGAAGGCTACCACAAAACAAAAACATGAAGCTGCTATGAAAGAGATCAAGGAATTAGATAGTAGGGCATTTGATTATCTCATGGAGAGGGACCCTAAATGTCATTGTAGGGATTTTCAAGTAGAAGGGGTATTCTGTGATGCTATTGAAAATGGAATTTCAAAGAGTTTTAATGTTGAAATAGTTGAGGCTAGACATAAACCAATAATAGCAATGTTGGAGGATATCAGGGTTTATGTGATGCAGAGGTTATACTATCAGAGGACTAAGGGAGAGTCTTGGGATTTAACTATATGCCCATCCATTAGGAAGAAAATATCTGATTTGAAGGACAAACAGAGGTAAGAATGTTTGTATTTACTTGTTATTTAGCATAAATATACATTTGTTCATGTGTTCTTACTTGTTTAATGTTTATGTACAGATTCTGGGCAGTGTACCCTTGTGGATATCAACAATTTGAGGTTGTGTTATGTAATGATAGGTATACAGTTGACCTGATCAGAAGGACTTGTGGATGTAGGGGATGGCAGTTGACTGGCATACCTTGTGTAAATGGAGTGGCTGCAATTTCATCCATGAACTTGAACTCAGAGGATTATGTAGCTAGTTGTTACAGTAAGGCAACTTATCTTAACTGCTATAAATATATTATTCATCCTTTGAATGATAGCTCTCTCTGGACACAAAGTGACTACACAAAGCCTTTACCCCCAAAGAGTAGAAGGCTACCTGGAAGGCCATCTACTAAGAGGAGAAAAAGTGCAGCAGAAAGGGAGATATCAAGCACACACACAATATCAAGAGTAAAGCAGGTGCAAAAGTGTTCAATCTGCTATGTTAGTGGGCATAACAAAAAAGGGTGCCCAACAAAAAAAAATCCAACCACAGGTGATCCGGATCCAGCATCTTCAACTCCAGCTCCAATTCCAACTCCAAGATCAACTCCAATTCCAACTCCAATTCCAACTTCAACTCCAATTCCAACTCCAAGATCCACCCCAATTCTATCTCCAGCTCCAATTCCAACTCCAAGATCCACCCCAATTCCAACTCCAACTCCAATTCCAACTTCTGCAAATCCACATCCAACTCCAAGATCCACTCCTGCAACTCCAAAACAAATGCAAAGATCTACTTCTACAAGACCATTTTGTAGAGCAGTTCAAGTGAGGAAGAGGAAAGCTTCTGAAAGAATCACCAAGCAGTGCCTGAGGAAAAAAGTGGTGACCAAGGATGGTAGTGGTTGTAGCTTAGGGAAACCTATAGATCTAGGTTGATTGCAGTTTTTATGTTGTAATATTTTGTTTTCTTATGTATGCATGTGGGGTGTTAGGTAAGCATGTGAGGGTGGAATATTTTGATATTAAACGTGATGTTGTACTAGACTAAGGGACAAAAGACTCCAGCTTTTGATGCTCTTTTGATGATGAATGGGAACACCTTTTTAAGAGTGTTTGTTTGTTGACACTATTACCCTTTAATATATTTTATGTTTAAATCTATTAACCGCATCTATTTAAATCTTTTAACTGCATCTTGGTTGTTGGATCATATACTTTGCAGATGTTGACAATTTGGTTGATTATATTTTCTGTTGAATCATCTTGGTTCATTACATTGTGTTCAATTTGGTTGTTCATTATAATTATTGTTGACAATACTACCCTTCATTATAATTATTGGTTGATTATATAATTAACTGCTTATTATAATTATTGTTGACAATATTACCCTTTAATATAATTAACTGCTTCATTATAATTATTGTTGACACTATTACCCTTTAATATAATTAACTGCTTCATTATAATTATTGTTGACAATATTACCCTTTAATATAATTAACTGCTTCATTATAATTATTGTTGACAATATTACCCTTTAATATAGTTAACTGCTTCATTATAATTGTTGTTGACAATACTACCCTTTAATATAATTAACTGCTTCATTATAATTGTTGTTGACAATATTACCCTTCAATGTTGAATCATACACTTTAAAGTGGTGTTTGTATTACAATGATAGATTTCATTACCAAAAGCTTCATTTGCATTCATACATATGATTTCATTACATTATGGGTACCCTTACCATCAAAATAACAAAACTATGGGTACCCTTTATATTCAAAAGATGTCTATTGCATCATAATTCCATTCAAAATAACTTAACAAAGAACAAGACACACAACACAATCAATGCTACTTTATGGTGATGCATCTTCTTCTTCATTTCATTCAACTCATATCTAAGACCAAAAATCTCCTCTGTGACCGGATCTTCAGCAACCCATTCCCAAAATCCACATTTTCTCCCTGCTCTCTATAAAAAATGAAAAAAAAAACAAAGCTTTAGGATAAATGTCATAACTTACACACTTATAATAGAGATTTAAAGAGAAAAGCTTCAATCTTAAAAATTGGACATTACCAACGAATTAGGGCATGTTCTGAATCTTTTCCCCGGATTTTGTGGTGTAGTGGAGACTCGAATCCGAGTAGGGAGCCCACAGTAGCACATGATTCGGTTGTTTGAAGTGGACGTAAAGGAGGCTTGCGACGACATCTTCTTCTCTTCTTCTTCAACTCTTCAAATTAGGGCACAAGAAATATGGGACCTTATGCGAATCTGGTGGTTATAGCCATGCCACCGAACACGTAAGATGCCAACTAAGCAAAACAGGAGGAAGCCGGTTAAATGACTATTTATAAACGGATATTAGAACCTTAATGGTGTAATACACACAAAAAAAAAACGTTAAGGACCTAACATGGACAAATGAGAAACGTTATTACCCTCCTAAGTCATTATCCCGAAATAATATAATGTTACTTGCTAATCAAAATTATTATTTACATGAAATAAAGAATTTCCAATTTAATCATAATAGTTTTATGGAATATTTATTAAAATCAATTTCTAATAAATAATCAATTGTATCAAGTTGTTGTTAGTGTGACCCATTAGTATCATATGTTATTTAGCAATATCACTTTAATATGACTCTTGAGTATACTATATCTTTTAATCTCCCACTTGTGCAAGACTCATATTAGACTGATATAGGCAGTGGTAAACGTCTAGGAACCTTTCACTACCCCTAAGTCCATACGACTATTTGTGTCATTCTATCAACGCGCAATTCCAAAAAGCTCAAAGCTACAAGTGGTGTATAAGGTAAGTTTATCAGTTATCCCTTTGCTATACACATCATCTTTAACATGAGATATAGATCGCAATCAATCTCATTGGTTGTTCCAATTTTGGTAAGGTGCCTCTGATGTCTAACTCTCAACACATAAGAGGAACAAATCCCATTTTCACTACATAAGCCCCTTGCATAGTTCACACCATACCTAAAAATGGCTTTTATAACTGCTCGTTTATGGAATAGCATTTGACCATATCAAGCATAGTACTCCCTTCACTTAAGTCCCACTATGTATCTCAGGTGTTAAGGATACAAAGATAGTATATTTTAATCAAGTATTATTCACGATAGCGATCCATGAGAAGATCTTGATGCGGGTCAGTTCAATACGAGTTCTATGACAAGTACCTATGAAACTTGGTTACAACCACTTGCCTACTTTCATCTAGTGAGAGTCAACCAATCCAATTCATATTAGTCTTAATTTAGAATTGCTCCCATAATTATAACCGGCTATGAACTTTTAGAATAATAACATTATTTATGGATTAAACATGTTAATATATAACATAATAAGTATTAATGTGATGAATATATACCAATATATCATAACATTATCTAATAGTTCTTATTATAATGTTCCAATATCCAAATACTAAATCCAAGTCAAGAACCCATTTCTGAATAATAAAGTCTTATAGCCCAAGTGTGACCAATCATACTTAGCTCAAAAGAATGAGTTTATCAATGGATCTGTCAAAATTTAATTTGTGTGAATTCTATGAATACTTTCATCTCTATACTTAACTTTACTCTAAGTATAGTTAAATATCTTGGAGAATATGATTAGTGCTATTCCGTGACATGGAGTCTCTTAGCTAGATTAAGTATACTCTCAACGTCACAAAGTTTTTATGTGATCCTTGAATGGCATAAATCAACATAGTTTTTCAATGATCTATTCATCTAATCATATTTGAATTCAAATTCTAAAGTAGTGTATTCTTATTTTGTAGTAGATTGTGTCATTATGTTTTGCTTGGACCTCATTCCAAAAAACCTTACCTTTCATTCCATAATGAAGTCAAAATACAATTCTGATTCATAATTATATATATATATATATACATATATATATATATATATGTGTGTGTGTGTGTGTAGAAATAAACATCTTATGTAGCTCTTTCCATAAAGATCATTTCTAAACTGATTGTCTCATATACATTCTCTTAGTTCTTCTAAAGTACTCTTAGAATGTTTTCTTAGTCATCCAGTGACTTAACCATGTATTCAATTAGTATCCTATGACATGCTTACAGCATGATCAAATACCATTTCCTATGCATAAGATGGCATAAATGATGAATTCATTTGTCAAGTAAATACAATATAAATCATTTCATCTAGTTCAAGCCTATGAGCTATGTACTTTTGAGGCTAGCTCAAAATGGTGCCATAAGACAATGCCAAGAATTCTCCAAAAGAATCATGTTTCTTGATCCCTTTCAAGATATTGTCAATATATGTATAAGGACTTGAAACTTTTAACATTCATTTTATCTATCCCTTATAGATTTTACACTCCAAGAATGTATCTTATCCTTGCTAAGTCTTTCATTTTAGAAACACTTTCCGAGTCAAGGTGAAAACAACCTTGCTTAGTTAGAATGTGATTTCAAAATGAATAAGTATGTCTCATTCATACAAGATTAGGAATTTCACTATGCTCCCACTAGTTCTTAATAAACACAGATATCACACACCGCAGTATACTAGGTCTTTTAATTTGTTAAGAGGTTTAGTTCTATTCATTTTGATATAAAAACATACCTTGTAGTTTTACATTAAAATGATGATTGCAACATTGACATGTTTGCTTTATATCCACAAGTGGATCTCAAGCTCTACACATTTAGTTAGGATAACATGGATTAAGAAAACCTCCAAGCTAATATATATATATATATATATATATATATATATATATATATATATATATATATATATATATATTCCAGTAGATGTCTATTAAGAAAAGCGGTCTTTCTTGAAATCTAGTTACTATATCCCATATTAAGAATATGAATTTATAGAAAATAATATCCTTGTTAATTTAATCATAGCTACTTGTGAAAAAGGTTTGATCACAGTCAATGTCATGAGTATGATGAGGATCACAGTCAATGACATGAGTGTAAGAGAATCCTTTTACTACAAGTCTTGCTTTAAATGTGTATGGTTATCCATGTAATTTATTCTTTCTAAAAGAATCATTTAGTCCTTCTAGCCTTGATATAGGGGTAAATTATAATCAAGCCCATACTTGATTCTCATACATGGATTACATCTCATTTTCATGACTCTAAGTCGTTTATCAGATTCGAGATCCATCATAGCATCTTGTTATTTGATGGATTTTCCCGAAACCATCAACAAAATCTCATCAATGAGAGATTCCACATTTCTCAATTCATAGATGATTTCTATCATTAATACGAACAATTTTTGTTTGTGAATAACTATTATTCAATTTTAACAATCCTTGTTAAAAATAGTACCAACCGTTACTACAGAAGGTTTTGGTTCTTGAGCTGCTTCAAGTTCTATGTACCTCCCACCTGCTTTGTCATTAGAAACTTACTTTCTAGTAACTTAGCTTTCACAAGAATAGAAGAACCTATTCTTGGTGGGTTTTCATATAATAATCTAAGCCACATTTAGAGTATTATACAAATATATATTTAATAGATTTTGGGTTTAGAAGATTTAGTCCAACATCGGCTTCAAATCCATAAAACATTAAGTAAGATAAGGATGGTGCCTTTCCATAATAAATCTTATAAAATGTTTAATCTACTTATTAGTTCGTATTTTCATTCAAGATACAGTTAATAGTGATTGAAGTATTATCCCAAAAAGATTAAAGGAGGATATTTCTACCGATTAGAAAGTAAATCATACCAAGTAAGATTTAATTCATCATTTATTATCATTAAGGCCTTATATGGCTCTTACTAGTTTATATCTCAACTTTTGAAACCTTCAACAAGATTTCACAATTATGCTTTACCACGTAACATATAATTAAAACTATTGTCGTTGTTAATAAAGTTGATTGGT